GGTAATTGCTCTCCCTAAAATCCCCCTATGACACGAGCAGAGCACCGAGGTAATTTCAGGCTCCAGACATCCTCTGCACACTTAAAGAAACACAGCGAATGAGAAAGAACACTTAAGTCAGAGTTTATTTCAGAGTGCATTTCCCAGAAATTGATGTAGATTTTATCTACAACTGATGCCATGTAGATAAAAAATAAGATGAGGATGAAACTGTAAGATACATACAAAATTAACTGCCTATGAGCTTCACAACTGTTCAAATGTGAGGGTTGAAATAGTACACTGAACTGATAATGAAATTTCTGAACATTCTGAATAGAACAAATATGAGCAGTTTTGCCTTCAGTCTAAAATGATTGAAAACTGTTACGTTTTGAAATGTTTCTTTTCTTTTCTTCATCAGAATGGAATGAAACTTGGTGACTTTTGTTGTATTACCTATGTGAACACACAAAAAAATCATGGAAATGATTCAGACATGTTAAAGGATAGTACAAAAAATAGTCACACTTTCTCCCGGTCAAAAATGACCAACCATAGGAAATGAATGGTAAATAGGAAAAAAATAGGAAAACTTAGAGAAACTTTTGGTGGTACAAATTACTAGTCTAGTCTGCAAGCGCCATCTAGGAGAACTTTTAGTTGTTTGAGTGTCTAAATAAAATAATGAGGTGGAATGATCCGACAAAACCGCACTATATCATATATACAACTTTCTATACTAGGTAATAAAGGAATAGAATTTAAGAAATAATCTATACGAGAGGAGGTTTTAGATAAAGAAGAGAAACATGAGTATTCCCTTTTTAAGGGATTTAGTGTTCTCCAAGGGTCACATAGATTTAAATCTTTCATAGCTTGTCTTATTTTCTTTCTACCCTGAGAGTGAGAGCTATCCAGTCCTGAAGAATGATCAAGCACCAGGTCAAGAGTGCAATTAAAATCACCTGCTACTATCACTGTTCCAGATAGAGAAGCAATCAATAGGAAAAGATGCTCAAAAAATGCAGGATTATCCTCATTTGGGGTATAAATATTAACCAAATTAATAATTTTACTCATATAAGTACCCTGCAATATCAGATATCTGCCAGCCTTGTCTGTAATGCTCTTACTTTCTTTGAAGGGTACGGCCTTATGGATCAACACCATAACTCCCCTCGAATGGGAAGAAAAACATGAAGCCAAGACCTGACCTGGCCATCTTCTTTGTACCTTTTGAAGCTCCTCTTTAAGTAAATGGGTTTCCTGAAGGAGGAGAGGAGAATCCTTCAGAATTTATGCCCCCCCCCCCCCAAGTGTTTTACTGCCTTAACATTGTAAGTTACCTCAGATAAAATGGCAGGGAAACTATTTAAATAATAATAACATATGTAACACATACAAACTAAAATAATAAAAAAATTAAAAAAATAATAATAAAATAATAATCGAGCCATCTGTGTCTAGAAATGCACTAGCAATAGTACATGTTAAGGTAAAAACCAACCCAGATAGAAAAACTACACAGAAATATACAACTCCGAGTCACTTCTAACTAGGACTGAAATTAAGAAAATGACAAAGCATCCTTTTAGGTTCTTTCTGCTTCACCCGCACTTTGAATTCCCTGCAAAAACTTTTCTGCATCAACCGGATCCTCAAACTCACGGGTCTGTCCATCAATCGTCAGGCTCAGCTTGGCTGGATAAACTATTCCATAATTGATGTTCATGGATCTCTACCGTTGTTTAACCACATCAAAACGCCGCCTCAGGCGGTGAAGTTCCGCGGATAAATCGAGGGAAAATGTGACCTCATGATCTCCATACATGATCCTTTAATCCTGGCAGCTCTCATCACTCTGACTTTATCTTGGAAGTTCAGAAACTTCATGATCAGCACTCTTGGAGATGATCGATTAGATTCTGAACGACCAGGTAGTCTGTGCGCTCTCTCGATGATGGGCGGCACGGAGAAGGTTGCTGGGCCCAACATTTCAGGTAACCATTTTTCTAAGAAGGCGACCGCGTCGGGATTTTCCACCTTTTCAGGAAGATTAACCACTCCTAGGTTCAGTCTTCAAGAGCGGTTTTCAAGGTCGTCTCACTTATGTGAAAGGAAGGCTAGGCGTTTAACTACCTCTTCCATCTTGCCCTTCTCTGTAGTACCTGTGTCTTCTACATTGCGGATTCGCTGTTCAGCCATATCCATGCGTCCTGAGAAGTCTCTCACGTCCTTTTTTACCTCATGAATCGCATTAAGAACGCCATATATCTTTGTCGCAAAGTCACTTCTCATCATGTCCAACTTTTGAATCACATCCAAATTCTGGCCCGTGTTGGTAAAACTTTCTTCAGGTTGGGAGGCGCTGCATGTGTTAGCTACACTGTTAGCATCCCACTCGTCGTCCTGGTCTGAGTGACGAGGCGTCCGTTTTATGCTTCATTTTGGATTTTTTTCGACGGCATTTCGATTTTTATTTCACCTCAAACAGTTAGTGAAAAAATATACATGTGTTTAATCAAAAAGATGGAGAATATACAGGATTTTCAACAACCCCAGGAGCTCACAAAAAGACGTTCACTCAGTTCGGAGTCATAACCACGCCCCCAATTTGCTATTTTAGGATAAGTGAACTTGTTACTCGTATCCGGAGACTCTCTTACAACATTTTGACATCAGTGAGGTCCTTCAAATCAAGACACCTTTTTTCAAACTTGCAGATTTTAAAGTCTCAAAGTGAAAAAGAATCCCTAAAAAATGTGTTGAGAGTTGACCCTCTCTCATACACACAGCATGTGATGCTAATTGCTGTGAACAGGTGTTGTGGGAAGCTGTGCTGTCACCTCTATGACAGGCTGTGACAGCGTCCAGGTGGCACTACAGCTATCTAGAAATATGACACATTCACAAATCATAGTTTATGATGATGGTCATAATATAATATAATATAATATAATATAATATAATATAATTGTTTTTAATAGAAAGCAGTTTGGCCAACTTGAGTTGTTTTTCAATGTGTTAAACAAATTAATAAATAAAATGTCAATTATAAATAAATCTAATAAAACACAGGTTAAAAACATATCTACAGAGAAACTCTACTTTTTTAACAATAATATTACAATCTATTGAAGACAGACATTGCTAGAAATATGTGTATACTGTACATGCACCCGTATATGCTTGGGGCAAAAAACATTTAACAAAAAACAAAAACATGGGGATTAATTAAACGACAGTGTTGAAATATACTGTATGGCTGCTAGGATTTTAGCTTTATTCTTTTTATTCTTTTCATGAAAATGCATTATTTATACCAATCACATACAATTCATTTGAAATTTCCTTTACATTTCCATGATCAGAAAGGAGCAGATGGAAGAATAATATTCTTATATTTATATGTATCTGTAATATTCTTATATTTATCTCTAATATTCTTATATTACCCTGATTTGCTCCCATTCAGACACAAGAGCATTGGTGGGGTCAGTAATGTTGGCTGATGGGGTCAGGCTCATAAACTGTTATATTTCATTCAAAACGTGTAGTTAACACAATTCTGCACAATTCTATTGTACTTTATAGAAAAGTACACTCTATGTACAGGGGTATTGTCATGAAATAATTAACTGAATATATATATTTATGTGTTGCACTGCACTAAAATGTGTGAGGAGATTGCATGGATCTGAGAACACCCCTTCTTATGCTCCCTGACAGACACTTTAAGAACCTTCTCTATTAAATTTGAAATAAAAGTATCCTCAGTCACCACCAAGACTCAAAGAGAGATGTAGAGCCATGTCCACCCATGAACTGAGTGAGACATGTGGAATGTGACATCCTCACCGTTCGAGAGACCATGAAGCACCATCAAGTACTCACTGCCACATCCTATCAGTGTCCACATGGCCTCCTTGAGCTCTTCTTATCTTCTCTTCTTAAAAAAATCTAAAGCACAACCACAAATCTTAATTAAATAATTAAAAAAAGATTATACTTTATTTTAGTGTCCTTGTTAAAGTGTAATTATACATTTAATTACTGAATAATTTTAAATAACATTAGGGTTGGATTAGGGTTAAGGTTTAGGATTGATTAAGGTTATGTAATTTATATTATATAATTTACTATTGTCAGGATACACAGAATGGTAGGAATGATGAGTAACAACAATACAAGTTTATTATAAACAGGTGATTGGCAAGGTGAGTATTTTCAAGACAATGCTTAGGAAACCAAGAAGATGATGGAGACTTGTAGAAACAGGACGGTAGATGAACAGACGTAGCATACACTTCATAGGAGGTAGCGCAGACGGGTAAGTGAGTCCTTACTCATGAAGGAGACCAGTGCCAGAGTGAGGTGTGTGCTTACATGTGTCTGTGATGATGAGCAGATGGATTGCAGGTGCGGGTGATTAATCCTCAGGTGACAGCGATTTTTGTGATTGAGTGGTTATGGAGCCTGGCTAATCCCTGACATATATATATATTAGGGCTGGGAATTTATTAGAAAAATTTAACTAATTAATCGCACAACTTGGTGTGATTAATCGCAATTAATCGCATTTTTTCCCAAAGCTTGTTATCAATACTTATACGTTAAAAATGATACATTTACACAATGAAGTATATGTTTAAACAGAGCATTTTATTACAATGATCTTATGAACTGTAAACGTTCTCTCCTGGGAACTAGTATGGGTAATTCCCATAAAGTGCAACATTATAAAACAAAGTGTATAAGTGTAAGTTGAATTTGATCAGAAATCCTAAATCATCTTATAAAGTAAGGCAATAAGCCAAAAGCAATTTCTTCATATCCACCAACAATATAATTAAACAAAATGTTAAAGTGTAAGTTTAAACTACCAAGATCATCAAAATGGTTGGAACTTAATCCAAAGCAAAAACTTTTTTTTTATGCCCCAAACATGTCGCACCAAACAGCCTTTGCAGAACGAATAACACAGGGAGAATGTTACATATTTTGCCAAAACATTTTGCCTACTCTTTTGCATTGAGCCAGCAACTAAGACAGACCAGTTTGTTTACATTATCAGGAGACAAGGAAGCTCTCTTCTTTTGGACAATGTGGCCTGAGAGTGAGAACAACCTCTCACAGGGCACTGTGGTTGCAGGTGTGGACAGGTATTTGCGTGCTATGCGTGCCATTAGAACATGTGCTCCTTCTCTTGATGACCACCACTGCAGTGGACACTGGTCCATGTTGATTTTGGGCTCTGATTTGTAGCGTTTCAGACATTTGTCTATAGAATCTTCATCATCTGAATCTGAATCAGATGAACAAAGCAAGAACTCAGACATCCTTGTCTTTTTTGTTGGCTGTTTTCCTGTTGTCTCTGTTGACGGTTGTTGTGCCAGCCTCTCCTCCTTTACCAGGCTGCTTATTGAGGTCCACACCTCATGCCTTTCGTCTTTAGGAAGACACTTCAAATCTTTAAACCTGGGGTCGAGAGCAGTAGCGATCTTCAGCCATTTGAGGTTGGTGCTTTCCTTCCTTTTAGCTAGGTCTGTGGTAAACACCTTCTTGAACCTCACCACATAGACTGGATCATCATCTGATGGCTCCATAACCCGGAACAAGTGGCAAAATGCTGGTAACACCACTGAACAAGAAATGTACTGCTCGCCCCCTAGGAGTTCAGTCACATTTCTGCAGAGGAAAGTACAAGATGTAATTATGTCAGTAAATTGTTTTAATTATACAGTGGCACACACAATAAGTCAGATCACACAGAGACAATTTTCAAAGGGGTACGAAACACACTAGGGCTGTCACTTTTGAGAAAAATCTAATTCGAACGAATATCAAATATTAAGCAATGTATTTGTATATCTACGGGGAAAAAAATGCACAAATGCATTAACAGTCTGGCTGTCATAATAATAACTCTCCGGCCATAGCCTGTCTAAAAAACACATGTTTGACTTAATGTTTGAAACAGCAGACTATCAACTTAATCTATATGAAGTGCCCCTATGGGTTACACTTTATTTCGATAGTCACTTTAGACATTCTACTAACTATAAGTAACTTTTCAACTACATGTCAACTAAGTGTCATTAGAGTATTAGTAGGCTGTAGTAGACTGTCAGTAGACTGTTAGGTTAGGGTTAGGTGTTAGGGTTCAGGTTAGGAGAACAAGTTGACTTCTTGTTGCTAAGTTACTTAACAGTCAGTTGAATGTCTGTTGAGGGACCAATAAAATAAAGTGTTAGCAGATATTAAGCTGACAGTCTACTAATACTCTAATGATAGTTAGTTGACATGTAGTTGAAAAGTTACTTATAGTTAGTTGAATGTCTAAAGTGGACTATCGAAATAAAGTGTTACCACACTATGCATAGACAATCACAAAATTAAGCTAAGGTTACATGGAAAAAACAGAATAGGAACATAAAATAACGTGACAACTTACACAGCTAATTCATTTCTTAATATTGTTTGTTAGAAACACCAGTCCATCAACTTGATCTGGATCAAGTGCGGCTCTTTATATTGATGATGTTCTCCGCGGTGGAGAACACGCACTCTGAGTGCACAGACGTGCCTGGCACACACATATTTTAGAGCCTGCTACTGAATGAGATGGTAAACAATAAAATAAATCAAACGGTCTAATCATATATTGCAAAAAAAAAACATGGCACTTTGAAAAAGGGATAGTTTATTTATAGTTAGTTTACGGACATTTCACGTCATGTTCGAATGCATATTCGAATATCGAATAAAAAACTGACAGCCCTAAAACACACACACATATGCACACACACACACACACACACTCACACATATGCACGCGCACATACGCATGACAAACACAGGAAGAGAGGAAACACAGATATAGAGAGACAAACAATAGAGAGAGAAATAAACTAACCTGCAAGGTTCAAGTAGTTCTTCAACCTTTTCCAGTTTAGCAAGCTCCTGTGATGTCAACATGGCAATTTTGCTGTTCTGCTGAGACAGAGTAGTGGACAGTGGCAATCTGTTTCGCAGGATCCGCCTGACCATCTCTAAGGTAGAATTCCACCTGGTTGGGACGTCCTGTACAAGCGGTTCTTGCTTCTGTCCAAGTGCAACTTGCTGTTCTCCTAATTCCTGAGCATTTGATGGACTGTGCTTAAAGTGCCCCACAATTTTGCGACATTTGGCCAAAATACCATCTAATCCACAGTCGTGAAGAGAAACAGTTACAGTTCTTTGAACGCAGTGGGCTGTACAGGGCAGGTGTTCAAATGGTAGTAGTCTCGCAGCTGCTGTCATGTTCCGAGCACTGTCAGTCCCAAGTGTTGTTAACTTATTCTCCACATTCCAATATTTGGCAACTTCCAAAAAATGATCAGCGCATGCCTCCGCAAAGTGGCGCTCGGTGGTTTGACTCACAGTAAGGGCAAATGAACGGAAACTCCACTCCTCATCTATAAAGTGTGCTGTGACGCCTAAGTAGTTGTCATTGCTCACAGACGTCCAGTGATCTCCTGTGAGGGCGACGTTCGTTGCGTTCTCAAGCATGTCCATCCTCCGTGCCCTCTCGCTGTCATACAAATTGTGTATTCTCGACACAATCGTTCTTCTAGATGGTAGATTGTAAGAAGTGTCTCCCGATGCAATTTGAATTACTTCTCGTAGTCCCTCGTCATCTACCGTGTTAACTGGGCGGCAGTTTCTAGCTATCCATCTAGCAATAGAATCGGTTAAAGATTCAGTTACAGACTTGTTCATCGGCCCGCCACGAGGCCTACAGTAATCCAGCATGGTCGATTGGCGAGACCCTCCTGTAGCCTCGCTAGTTGCGGCAAGAACACCTGGGTGTTTTGCGTTTAAATGGTATAGTAAAGACGAATTGCTCCGGTGGTATTTAAATTCGGCTTTGCAAATTGTACACACCACCACTTTTCTGTCTGTGCCATCAGGACATTTTTTAAATGTAAACTTTCCATCTAAAACTCCACCGTTATCGCTCTCCATCATCGTGCAGTGTGATTTCGCTCAGTTAGCACACTCCTCTGTCACAACAGGAAGTTGTTTAAACGGACGCGATTGGCTTGCGTCAATTGCGTTAATTTATTTTAATGCGTTAAACATGTAAAATTAATCGCAGAGATTAACGCGTTAACTTTCCCAGCCCTAATATATATATATATATATATATATATATATATACACTCCCCTAAAGGATTACTAGGAACACCATACTAATACTGTTTGACCACCTTTCGCCTTCAGAACTGCCTTAATTCTACGTGGCATTGATTCAACAAGGTGCTGAAAGTATTCTTTAGAAATGTTGGCCAATATTGATAGGACAGCATCTTGCAGTTGATGGAGATTTGTGGGATGCACATCCAGGGCATGAAGCTCCCCACATCCCAAGATGTTCTATTGGGTTGAGATCTGGTGACTGTGGGGGGCATTTTAGTACTGTGAACTTATTGTCATGTTCAAGAAACCAATTTGAAATGATTTGAGCTTTGTGACATACATTATCCTTCTGGAAGTAGCCATCAGAGGATGGATACATGGTGGCCATAAAGGGATGGACATGGTCAGAAACAATGCTCAGGTAGGCCGTGGCATTTAAACAATGCCCAATTGGCACTAAGGGGTCTAAAGTGTGCCAAGAAAACATCCCCCACACCATTACAGCACCACCAGCAGCCTGCACAGTATTAACAAGGTATGATGGATCCATGTTCTCATTCTGTTTACGCCAAATTCTGACTCTACCATCTGAATGTCTCAAAAGAAATTGAGACTCATCAGACCAGGCAACATTTTTCCAGTCTTCAACTGTCCAATTTTGGTGAGCTCTTGCAAATTGTAGCCTCTTTTTCCTATTTCTAGGGGAGATGATTGGGAGATGAGTGGTACCTGGTGGGGTCTGCTGCTGTTGTAGCCCATCCGCCTCAAGGTTGTGCGTGTTGTGGCTTCACAAATGCTTTGCTGCATACCTCGGTTGTAACGAGTGGTTATTTCAGTCAAAGTTGCTCTTCTATCAGCTGCAGTCGGCCCATTATCCTATGTCCTCTAGCATCAACAGGGCATTTTCGCTCACAGGACTACCACATTCTGGATGTTTTTCCCTTTTCACACCATTCTTTGTAAACCCTAGAAATGGTTGTGTGTGAAAATCCCAGTAACTGAGCAGATTGTGAAATACTCAGACCAGCCTGTCTGGCACCAACAACCGAGCCATGCTCAAAATTTCTTAAATCACCTTTCTTTCCCATTCTGACATTCAGTTTGGAGTTCAGGAGATTGTCTTGACCAGGACCACACCCCTAAATGCATTGAAGCAACTGCCTCTCTGAGGCGAGCTTGTAGAAGAGCTGAACGTAAATGGAAAAATGATAAGCTACAAATTTCTTATGAAATGCTGAAAAATTCCCTCAGTGCTTTTCAAAAAGCTATGAAATCTGCTAAGTCTAAGTATTTTTCTAATTTAATTTTAAAAAATCATCATAGCTCAAAAGCCTTATTTTCTGTGTTAAAGTCTGCTCTCAATCCTCCTATAACTGTGATTTCAAATCCTTCAGTATCATTATGTGAAGGTTTCTCAAGGTTTTTCTGTGAGAAGATCACTTCTCTCAGATCCCAGTTGCAATCATCTGCTAATGTCCTGCCTGAACTGGACTGTTCTTCACCCATTTGGAGTGTCTTTGAACCTGTTTCTCTTCTATCTTTCAGAGAAATTGTTGTCCATTTGAAACCTTCCTTCTGCTCTCTTGATGTTCTTTCTCCTCGTATCTTGAAACAAACTTTTGATTCGGTTGGTACATGTTTGGTGTCTCTGATGAATAAATTCTTGAGCACAGGGACTATCCCTGATACACTAAAACAAGCGACCGTTACACCTCTCCTCAAGAAACCTTCACTCGATGTTAGGGATTTCAATAATTTTCGACCTATTTCGACCCTTCCTTTTATTACAAAAGTACTGGAGAAAACGGTATTCAATCAACTCCAAATCTCATCTTAGCACAAATCAAATTCTTGAAACTTTCCAGTCTGGTTTTAAGCCTCTGCACAGCACAGAGTCTGCTCTTTTAAGGTTTCTAATGATATTCTGTTAGCAACTGATGCTGGTGACTCTGTGATCCTAATACTGCTAGACTTAACCTCGGCCTTTGATACAGTTGATCATAAAACTTTGCTGTCCCGACTGGAGTCCTCTGTGGGCATCCAGGGAACTGTCCTCAGCTGGTTTAGATCTTATCTAACAAATAGAACTTTCTCCGTCAAACTGGGTAATTATTCTTCCTCACCAGCCCAACTCTCCTGTGGAGTGCCGCAGGGGTCTATCCTCGCACCCATTCTTTTTTCCATTTATTTGCTTCCTCTTGGCTCCATTTTCAGAAAGCATGGTGTATTATTTCACTGCTATGCAGATGATACACAAATTTATTTCCCTCTGAAACGCAACAAAGAGACTGCTCTAAAATCTCTTTTTGCATGCCTAGAGGAAGTAAAAATGTGGTTTTCTCAAAATTTTTTGTCCCTGAATGAATCCAAGACCGAGGTTATAGTCTTTGGCCCCCATGACAACTATGATAGCAGCAACATTGATCTGAACTATCTGGATCCAAAGTCATCTTGCATCAAGAACCTTGGCGTTCTCTGGGATCCAAACCTCAAATTTGAAAAACAAATAAATACGGTGATTAGTGCTTGCTTTTTTCAGTTACGCCTTCTCTCTAAAATTAAATCTTCCCTTTCTGAGAAAACACTAGAGATTGCCATTCATGCGCTCATTACATCACGGTTGGATTATTGCAATTCTCTCTACTTTGGCATACCCAAACACTTTATTGCTCATCTCCAACTAGCTCAGAATGCTGCTGCAAAGTTCCTCAAAAGAAAACGCAAATTTGATCATGTTTCACCTATCTTAAAATCTCTACACTGGCTACCTGTGCATTTTAGAATCGAGTATAAAATTCTTTTATTTGTTTTTAAATCTGTAAATAACTTTGCACCAAGCTATCTGTCTGAGCTACTCTGCCCACACAACCCCACACGATCCCTGAGGTCTGGTGATCAGAGTCTACTGTCTGTCCCCCGATCACGGCTAAAGAACAGAGGGGACAGAGCCTTCGCTGTTGCTGGCCCTAGGCTCTGGAACAGCCTTCCAGTTTATATCAGAGCTTCTCAATATTTAACTGTTTTTAAATCCTCTCTTAAAACATATTTTTTTTCTTTAGCTTTTAGCTCATTGTGAGTTTTTGTTATGAATGTGTGGTTTGTCCTTGTATTTTCTGTCTTTTCTTTTTTCTCTTCATCATGTGTATTGTTCAGCACTTTGGTCAGCCTTGTTTGTTGTTTTTAAATGTGCTATATAAATAAACACAAACTTGAACTTGAAACTTGAAACTGCCATGTAATTGGTTGATTAGATAATTGCATTAATGAGAAATTGAACAGGTGTTCCTAATAATCCTTTAGGTGAGTGTATATACAGTATATATACAGTATATATTCAGTTCAATTCAAATTTATTTGTATAGCGCTTTTTACAATACATATTGTTTCAAAGCAGCTTTAAAGAAAGTGCATTTCAGAAATGTACATGTAAAAATACATTTCATTTAGTTAATCATGTAATAATTTAGGGCATAACATATCGCCGGCGTTGAGTTGTCTCTTCACAGGCTTTGAGTATATATATATATATATATATATATATAAAGTCCAGTTCAAATGTAACTGTTGCTCGTCACAACGACTGCCTCAGTCGCTAGGCAACAAAACCAGACCATCCCATTGAACAACTCCCGGGACACAGCTAGCAACAATTTGTTAGTGTGACGATACATTTTGATAGTTTCTTTTTCTAAATAACCAGTGGTGGAATATAACTACATACATTTACTATGGATTAAAGTATAATTTTGAAGTACTTTAGATTGTTATTCAACTCTATCTCAATATCTTCATCTTAGTGGAAAATATTGTACTTTTTATGTAAAACTGACTTTTTACACATGGATATTAGATATTATTTAAAAAAATGTGAACAGTAAATACAAACCGAATTCCATAAAAGTTGGGACACTGTACAAATTGTGAATAAAAACAGAATGCAATGATGTGGAAGTTTCAAATTTCAATATTATATTTAGAATACAACATAGATGACATATCAATGTTTAAACTGAGAAAATGCATAATTTTAAGGGAAAAATAAGTTGATTTTAAATTTCATGGCATCAACACATCTCAAAAAAGTTGGGACAAGGCCATTTTTACCACTGTGTGGCATCCCCTCTTCTTTTAATAACAGTCTGCAAACGTCTGGGGACTGAGGAGACAAGTTGCTCAAGTTTAGGAATAGGAATGTTGTCCCATTCTTGTCTAATAAAGGCTTCTAGCTGCTCAACTGTCTTAGGTCTTCTTTGTTGCATCTTCCTCTTTATGATGCGCCAAATGTTTTCTATGGGTGAAAGATCTGGACTGCAGGCTGGCCATTTCAGTACCCGGATCCTTCTTCTACACAGCCATGATGTTGTAATTGATGCAGTATGTGGTTTGGCATTGTCTTGTTGGAAAATACAAGGTCTTCCTTGAAAGAGACGATGTCTGGATGGGAGCATATGTTGTTCTAGAACTTGGATATACCTTTCAGCATTGATGGTGCCTTTCCAGATGTGTAAGCTGCCCATGCCACACGCACTCATGCAA